TCTTCAATCTTCAATTTCAGTCTTAAGTCTTAAGCCTTCTTAAGATTTCTTAAGATTTCTGGGAAAGGAAAAGTAAGAATGGAAGATTCGTGGGCAGGAGTATGCCAGGAATCTTCAATCTTCAATTTGCAGTCTTAAGACTTCTTAAGAATCGTATATATACATATATACATATATATGTGTATACACTATACAGTACACTATAGTCTTGTCTATACTATAGTGTACAGTATAGACTGCAGTATTGTATAGCGTATCGTATGCAGCATTGCTTAAAGTTTGTAATATATACAGCCTAGAAAGTATTTATAGCATATATGAAAAAGCAGCCTTCTGGTCTGTGTAGCTCACGTGTTTCGTTACATGCTGAAGGGCAAGGTGTTGTGAATCGCATGACCATCCCCAGTCTGCTGCCACAGGGCTCCTTTTTGACATAGCTCGGGCGTCTACTACTTCGCAGTGACACGACCATGGTATCGTTTCAAAACAAAACCTTTTGCGTTCGCTAGTTATTACTTTTCCGACGTGCAATGTCATCTATCATTTTCTAAGAGAGCGGCGAATTGATAAGCAACTGTAGTCTTCAACAACACAGTTTTGTTGTTTTGGTTAGTCTCCTGGCTGCCATGGCATGTGTCAAGACCTACGCAAAACTCCTATGCTCTTACGCCAAAATCAGGCGCGAAGTGCAAACGTGCCGCCATCAAAAAGTCAGCAAGCGGACATTGGTAAAACGCCTGATGAGACGATGTTCGGGTCTAGATTTGTTATATTGTGGCATATTGTCCGGAAACTTCAAAAGCCCAGATATCAGATTGGAGCAAAGAAGTGGGGTAACGCGAAAAAAAGCCGACAACCTCATGCTTCGGCTGATTGTTCAACGCTGCGGCTCTGTCAAGAAATCGGTACCTGCCAGCATTCAAAAGTTGTTGCGAGAATCGTTCAAAGCCCACATAATATGTTTGACGAGCAAGCGCTATGCTTCGCATGCTGGTGCTCATCTTCCTCGTGAGCCAGTGCCCAACGACGCAATGGTTTACCATGTCTATGGGTACAACTGCACCAACAAGCAGAAAAAACACAGCCGCTTCATCAGAGAATTTCGCAACTGGAGAGAATTGCCACGTCTCTGCTACAAGCGCAAGCTGTCTGACAATATGCTCCGTGAACGCACCAGTGCGGGAGCGTTTGCTCGCTTGCAAATTCTGTCAGATGCAGTGGAAGTGGTGGGCGAGGGTTTTGGTCGACATCCCACCTGGTTTTGGAAATGGTGCTCGTTTCGACGGGGATCCTCTTGGTGAAGACGCACTTAGGAACCTCCGGAAAAAACTCAACGGCAGTGGATATTTTCGGGAGATTTTCGGTGGGTCCATTACATTGTTCCAGACAGCTCATTTGGTATGCGAGTGTCGCCAGTACACTTTTGCACGTTTCCGAAACGCTCGTCTACGGGACTTCTTTGCGACTTGCCAAAAGCCATTCTCAAAGAGAGCGACGAGAGAACAAGTTGAGGAACGTAGGAAAGATTGCGAAAGCGTATCTGACTTTGCTCTTTGACCGCGCAAAAAGGAAACCTGCTGATTAGTTTACAGGTTTAAGGGTTCGATGTTGCTGTGAGCATTCTTGCCAATGTACTGCAATTTTATTTGGTGATAGTTTAGTCAAAAATTGTCAAATTGGGAGGGGGGGGATTGGATAGGTTAAACATATTCAGAACATCAGTAATACTCGATTTCGAAGGTTCCAAACAACACATCATGTTTTTTGGTTATATTAACAGAACCACGAATGTTTCTCGCGCCAGGACGAGTACCAATGTTGCCAACATTGCCAATATTACTCACATTAGTCATATTGCTAATTCGTTTAATGTTGTAATACTGGTAATATGCTCATGATGTTTTTTAGTAGTGCTTCCAATACTGTGAATACCAATAGTCATAACATTGCCATCGCGCCAACATGATGCAGCTCACAAACACTAATACGTAAACAAGCAGCAGATGGAACAATTAAAGCTGTAGAAAGTAATCAATCATTACATTTAAGTTGTACAACACAGGTGCGGAGGGTTGATCATATTGCTGCTGCTAAATGCATGAATGGGTTGGATGTGTGATTTCTATAACAACGCAAACATCATTCGCAATTGTACCCACACACACAAAGCGAAGTTGACTCGAACGCCCACAGACAAAGCGAAGCTTACTCGGAAGCCAACCCACGCTTGAAAGTAGAACGTATGGACAAAAACATCAATGGGAACATTGATCACAAAACAGACGCACACAAACAGAAGTTTGACAGTTCAAGTGTAGGGAGTAGTTTCTGCGAACAGATTGTACTTGCAAGCGCACGAAGCAACCAGCCCACAAAAATGTCAATGCTGACAATGACACAAAACAAGCACACACAAGCAATTTTGACAGTTCAACTGTAGGGATTCGTTCGTGCGAACAGATTGTCCTCGCAAGTGCATGACAATCCAAAAGCACAAGCAACCAGCCCACGCAAAAACTTTATGCGAACATAAAACTGATATGACATAAGCTTGGAAGTCGTAGGTGCATACCATTACAGATGTAATTTTATTTATATTTGTATTTAGACTAGGTCTTTTAAGTAGTAAAGCAAGGCACAAGACAAAATAGACCCTAAAGGTTGCGGGCTCATATATATATATACACCCTTTCAGGGATAACTTGGTAGCCCCAGTAGCCGTATTTTGTCAAGGGCACCACGTTTTGGGGTTGGTCATTTTGTAAGGGAACCTTGAACCAAAAAACCCAAAAAAAGGGAAAAGGGTACCACTGGGCTACCAAGCCACTGAAAGCAGGCACTGTACTCCACGCCGGGCTTGAGCCAGATGGCCGAAGGGCAAGTCTTCCGCCAATGTTCCTGCGAACCCTCAACCCTAAACCCTAAACCCTAAACCCGAAACCTGCCAAGAATTGCACGTGCTCCGTGGAGGTGGGCATGAGAAAGATCTCCAGGTCGCCAGGCCCCTCTGAAGAACCCCAAGTCACCAAAGGCATCCCTGAGACCCTGAAAAGATAAGCCTAAGCCCTAAACCCTAAACCCTAAACCCTAAACCCTAAACCCCAAACCCTAAACCCTGAGCCCTGAAGCCCTGAAGAATTTAGTTTCGGGCTGGGGCCCCTGAGCGGCTTCTGGTGCCAGTCACAAATGAAAACCTAAACCCTAAACCCTAAACCCTAAACCCTAAACCCCAAACCCTAAACCCTGAAGCTTTGAAGAAATTCGTTTCGGGCTGGGGCTGTACTACCTGCAGTACTCCATCGCCTCTGAGCGGATTCCCAACTTCAATATACGCCGCCGCGACATATGCCGCCCCCTCACACCCCCTGGGTGTGTTGGGGCGCCATCTCCGCATGACATCTACTGCCGCGGCGCGGCGAGAAGCCCTAAACCCTAAACCCTAAACCCTAAACCCTAAACCCTAAACCCTAAACCCTAAACCCTAAACCCTAAACCCTAAACCCTAAACCCTAAACCCTAAACCCTAAACCCTAAACCCTAAACCCTAAACCCTAAACCCTAAACCCTAAACCCTAAACCCTAAACCCTAAACCCTGCGCGGCTCGTGGCATCATTTCTTCAAGGCGTCTAGGCTCCGAAGACAACGTCGGCGAAGCGATGTGAGGACAAGTCCTGCGCACGCGGCCACAGAGGCAGCAGTTCGGGGATCCGAAGTACGGTTTAGGTTTAGGGTTTAGGGTGTAGGGTTTAGGGTTTAGGGTTATTCCTTAATTAAGGGGTTTTGGGGTCTCTGGGTATGAGCCCTTAATGGTAAGGGACCATACTACGGGCCCATGGTTCCAACCTTAGTGTGCTAGTTCATATGGGCACTTCTCTGAATTAGGGTCCCCTTTTGGGTCCCCTTCTGGGTCCCCTATACTATAGTACGGCACCTTGAAAATAAAGACCCCCAACAGGGGCCCTAAACTTAGAGGACCTCCCCGTATAGTAGTTTACCAGAATGAGAGGAAAACTCTAGTAACCAATTCAAAAAGAGGTTTTCCGAGGTTAGGGGGTACCTTGCTGGGGTCCTTATTATAAGGAATCCTACTACTTGGGGTCTATATTGGGGGTCCCTCATTCTCGTAAACCCTCAACATTGGATCCTTAAACCAATCAAACCCTAAACCCTTTTCCCTAAACCCTAAACCCCAAACCCGACACCCGAAACCCTAAACCCCAAACCCTAAACCCTAAACCCAATCAACCTCAAGAGGCTGGCCGTTCAGCGATCCTCGAGCCGCAAGGGTGCAAGATGAGCGTCAGCTGCATCAGGTTACAATTACATCACCTTCAGGGGTTTAGGGTTTAGGGTTTAGGGTTTAGGGTTTAGGGTTTGGGGTTTAGGGTTTAGGGTTTAGGGTTTGGCCAGGGAGCACAAGGCTTAGGGTTTGGGGTTGAGGGTTGAGGGTTGCGGGAGAGGAAAGCAAAAATATGCAACCAGTGAAGCTCCCAATCAAGAGGTGTAGCTATGCGCTGCACGATTGGCCTTTGGTGTGGATTTCGCTCCTCCCAGGTTTCAGGTTTAGGGTTTAGGGTTTCGGGTTTAGGGTTGGTGGTCCCGACGTAGAGCAATGGAGAGTAAGGATGATCCTACCAGAACGGGACTCGTCTTGCTCAAGCACACTTCAGCAACCCTGAAGGATCCATGTACCTATACAGTATATACTTGGGCTCTAAAGGGGTGCCTCTTTAGTAGCTGCAGGGCACGAGTATATACTATATAGCTACACGGATCCTTAGGGCAAGGGACCCGCCTACGCCATTGGCGCAATGTTGGACGAGATGGGCGGTGGCATTGCCCCCTAACAGTCAGTTGAGACGCTCATCACATTGCACGTTTGAGTCCCTAGATCCAAGGGTTAGGGTGTAGGGTTTAGGGTTTGAGGCTTTAGGGTTTGGGGCGAAGTAGCTGCCCTTCCGACTTCCCATACCCGCTGCACGTGTCGTAAGCCGGGCGCTGGCATCGTAGGTGGAGGCTTCATCGAGCCCTGGCCAAGGCCGCATGTTGCAGTCACTGCATCAAGGGCTGCTGCGATCACCCTAAACCCTAAACCCTATAAACCCTATAAACCATATAAACCCTATAAACCCTATAAACCCGATAAACCCGATAAACCCTATAAACCCTATAAACCCTATAAACCCTATAAACCCTATACACCCCTCTAAACCCCTCTAAACCCCTCTAAACCCTAAACTACGAACTTGTCCGAGATGGCCTGCATGCCCATGCTGGCAGCCAGCGGACGATAGGATGGCACATTGAAGCCTCGGACAAGCGACGTTCAACATGCTGAACGAAGCTGATCCGCAGCAATCGCAACTCTTAGGCCATAAACCCCCTATAACCCCCTATAACCCCCTATAAATCCCCTATAAATCCCCTATAAATCCCCTATAAATCCCTATAAACCCCTATAAATCCCCTATAAACCCCTCATAAACCAGGCAGAGAGTTACTATCGCGGGAGAACCTTTGAATCTCCGAACACGAGCATCAGCAACATGCTTCTTCAAGGAAGCAAATTTGAGTGTCGGCTTGCCCTTACCTTTGGCTCAAAATGCCCCGCCCCCAAGATACAAAAGTTTTGAAGTGAAGGCATGATCCAGCCAATGAAAGAGTCCCTAGAGCCGTCAGGGCAACGCTGAGACCGAAGCGGTGCATCGCAGCATAACGTGCAGATCCACCCCTGAGCATCTCACGACGGATCTCTTCATGCAGGGCATCGATGTAGGCAGCCTGCGACGTTGCTAGGGTTAAAGGTTATGCCAAGATCGCCATGGCAAATGCGGCGGACTGACAGGGCTAGGGCATGGGGTTTAGGGCTTAGGGTTTAGGTTGGGGCTTGTGAGGCATCCTAGGTCGTGTTTCGAGTGACTGCGTTCGATGTGGAGTGGGAAGTGAAGTCGTAGCACTCACACCCACCAAGCTAAAATTCAGGTGGCTTCACACAGCCTGGGGCGGGGGAGGGGGGGGGGGGGTGGGGAAAACAAACACCAAAAGCGAATTAACCCCTAGACCCTATTCCCTTTTATCATCGAGGCACGCGCCGTGCGCCATGTCATCATGTGCCAATACAAACCCTCAACCCTAAACCCTGAACCCTAAACCCTAAACCCCAAACCCGAAACCCTAAACACTAAACCCTGGAGTGGTGGTGGCGATATGAGAATGAGGCAGAACCCCTAGGCCGCAGACCCGACACCGCGATCCTCTAAAGAATGAGCTGAAGCTTACCGGAAACCATAAACCCTAAACCCAGACGCACCTTAAGCTCGAAGCCCGAAACCCTAAACCCCGAACCGCCAAAAAGACCCCCAACTTAACCGTAAACCCCAAACCCCAAACCCCAAACCCCAAACCCCAAACCCCAAACCCTAAACCCCGACACCCCAAAAACCCAAAGTGAACGCTAGGCCTGCTGCTTGTGGGAAGCGATGAGGGCTTTCAAGTCGGGACCTGCCTGAGGGTTCCGGCGCGGGTAGCGACACAGAGCTTATAATTGAGGGTTTAAGGTTTAGGGTTTAGGGCTAGGGTTTAGGTTTAGAGTTTCTAGGGTCTGGGGTTTCGGGTTGCGTTTGTCTGCTATTGGGGTCTAGGGGTTCTAGAGGCGTTAGGTACGGATTTTAGCGCGCCCGTATTCAGGGTTTAGGGTTTGGGTTTCGGGGGCTTGCTGCGGCTTCAAGGTTGGGACCAATTTAGCACTCTAGGAGGACAGATGGCACAAGAAAAGCTGCCTGGGAAGATGCACCCAACTGATTCCTCTTCTGTGTGTTCTTTGGTTCTGGTTGGTAAATAATTTGAGGGTGATTATTGGGGTTGATTCCTTTCCCCCTTTCGGTTGCCCTCCCGTAGGGGGTTTAGGGTTTAGGGTTTGGGGTTTAGGGTTTGGGGTTTGGGGTTTAGGGTTTGGGGTTTAGGGTGTCTGGCGGGATCCGCTTTAGCGTCAAGTCTTTCGGCGCGCCTTTAACATGAATTGCTGGGCCTCTCTCCCCTCAGAGGGCTGCCAGGGAGCGGCTCCTTTTAACACGTTCCTCCCCCCACCCCCCCGTTGGGCCCGCTGGGGTTTAGGGTTTAGGGTTTACGGTGTAGTGTTTAGTGTTTAGTGCTTTTTTGGGGGGAGGGGGGTGGGGGGGAGAGGACCGAATAATTAAAAGCAGGCCCCACATTCAGGTTTAGGGTTTTCACAAGGGTGTAGGGTTTGGGGGTTCATGGTACCTAATAACCAGTTATAATAACCAGTTATAACTGTACTTATAACTGTACTTATAACCACATTAGGGCACTTGAGGGTCTTATAAGTGGGTTATAAGTACCGTTATGATTGGTTAATAAGTACCATGAACCTCCAAGCAGGGTTTGGGGGTTTGAAGCTTAGGGAGAGTGCCTGGGTCTTCACATCCTCCCCGACGAAGATGGAGCAGGTCTGTCGAGTGCCTCGCTGCACCTGGGCGCCCTAAACCCTAAACCCTAAACCCTCAACCCTAAACCCTAAACCCCTAAACCCTAACATCTCCGTGGCTTGGAAGTCGAACCTGGTCAGTTCGCTACCCTTCTGGCGGGTCCCTGTTATAACATGGCCCATCGGCACACGCATGTATATATACATATATATATATATAATATACATGTATATGTGTGTGTCTATGTACCTATGTATATACGTATATATGTATATCTGTATATATGTATATATGTATATATGTTTATCTGTATATATGTAACATGTAGATGTATGGGTAAACCACTGTATTGTCTTGTCTGACATTTGCCATATACATGTGAATAGTGCCCAAGCAAAAGAACCAGGCCATGCGTTGGGGAGCACAAGAAAGGACCCCGAATGGCCTCGAAAGCTGTGCCAATCACGGACAAGCAGATCTTCGGCCTGGGTTCAGGGTTCATAGGGTTTTGGGTTCCGAGGGTTTAGGGTTCATCGGGTGTAGGGTTCATACGGTTTAGGGTTTAGGGTTCAGGGGTTGTGGGGAGTTTTCGGTTTTTTTTTTGGGGGGGGGATTAAGGGGTTTAGAGGTTTAAGGTTTGGGGTGTAGGGCTGGCTGTGCGGAGTAAGGCCATGCAGCAGGACGGAAGCTCTCCATGGACATGCGACCCAACTTGGAGGTTCAGGGTACGTATAACCCAACTATACGTGTAGTTATAACCGACTTAGAACTAGGGTTATAAGTGGGTTATACGTACAGTTATCATTCGGCTACTAAGTACCATGAACCTCCACGAAGCCTACAAGAACAGTAACATGGTGCATCAATATGGGCTCTTTAATGTGAGAACCCTTCCATGCCCCTTATTTCCCCTTCAAAACCTGAGGGACCATACTTCAGAACCCTTTTAAAACGGGTAAGGGACCTGCTAAGGGGCCATGTAACTTGCCTTGCAAAGCTAGGTTGCCCAAGCCTGTGAGGACTCAACACTTGGGCAGCTGGGGGCAATTTTCGGAGAAGTGCACCCTAAACCCTAAACCCTAAACCCTAAACCCTAAACCCTAAACCCTAAACCCTAAATCCTAAACCCTAAACCCTAAACCCTAAACCCTAAGCCCTAAGCCCTAAACCCTAAACGGGCCATGCTGGGGTCCCACACTGGTATACGTCCGCCACTGCATCAGCATATGCCTGAAGACTGCAGAACATGTGGTCTCCGAGTTTACGCGGCTAGATCAGTGGGTTAGGGTTTAGGGTTTAGGGTTTAGGGTTTAGGGTTTAGGGTTTAGGGTTTAGGGTTTAGGGTTTAGGGTTTAGGGTTTAGGGGCTTTCAGGGTTTTCAGGCTTTGCAGGGCTTTTAGGGTTCATAAGGTTTTTCGGGTTAAGGGTTTACAGTTTAGGGTTAGGGTTGAAATAATTAGGAAACTTCTGACATCGCGTGCCAATCCTGAGCACCCTACGCCACTCAAAACCCTGCAAACGGCCCAGATGCCCCAACCAACTTTCTCACGCCCCCAGGCCCGTCAGCCCTCTAATCAACCCCAAACATCAGGTGCGAGACCCCAATATAGAGGCGTCAACAACTAGAAAAAGGTTTTGGGGATGTATTCTGGTCTAATTATAAAGGGACCCGTAAGTGGATACCATGAATTCTTCCGACCCTACATTAGGGGTGATTAAAGTATATTTATATAAGGGCCCATAAGCGAATACTATGAATTCTTCCGACCCTAAACCCTAAACCCTAAACCCTAAACCCTAAACCATAAACCCTAAACCCTAAACCCTAAACCCTAAACCCTAAACCCTAAACCCTAAACCCTAAACCCTAAACCCTAAACTCCAAACCGAATGGGCTCCTGCTCGAATCGGCTCACCAGACTCTGCAGGTCGCCAGCAGGCATACGCGGGTCCGTCTTCGTGTCCAGGTTGAACCATTGCTGAAAGATGCCTTAGACTACTATTTGCCTTGGGTTTAGGGTTTAGGGTTTAGGGTTTGGGGTTTAGGGTTTAGGGTTTAGGGTTTAGGGTTTAGGGTTTGGGGTTTGGGGTTTAGGGTTTGGGGTTTGGGGTTTAGGGTTTAGCGTTTACGGTTTAGGCTAACAGTCCTTGACAGGGATGATGATAGGATAATAGGGGGGGCACTACTAGAAGCCCTATTCAGAACTGTTACTACAAGGGCGAACATCCCCAACCCTAGATTCCCATTTGCCTAAGAACCACCCCCCCCCCCCCCCAAAAAAAAAAAAAAAAAAAAACTTCTTCCTTATGATAAGGGCAACTTGGGGATAATTATTCCGTTCTTTTGGGGTAGGTTCTTAGGCAAATAGGAGCAGAAGCCACGGGCTTAGGTTTAGGGTTCAAGGCAGTTTGGGGATTGCAGGGTTTGCTGCGGGGTCGGTGTGAAATTTGAGTTCCAGCGATATAAATGAAGTGTCGAGAGACTTGCACATAAGGAGCTCAGAATGAAAGTCGCATGCAAAGTCTGCAGGGATCTTACTCAAGATTGTCTGGAGCAAAAAACCACAAAACCGCGACACCCAAAAACACCAACACCCCAAAACCCTAAACCCCCAATGCTCTGGGACCCGATCTGCAGGGCTTATAGGGTCTAGGATAGGGTTCGATTCCAAGAAATCAGGCCCTTGAAGACTACCGGATCCGACATATCGCGAGGTGGCAGAGTTCAGGAAATGTGCATCTTACATGGCCTACCTGGCAGAACTGGTCCACCCGAAAAAAGTTGTGTGGTAACTTCTCTAAATTATTGTGCTTTTGGGGGTTACCATTATAAGGCGGCCCCTGATATTTAGCGAACCCATACTTTTGAGAAGTGGCCATATCACTATATTTGTACACGTGAAGTTCTTCGCTGCTGTTATTATCCTGCGCAGGACATGTGTAACGGTTCCATGTGCTTCAGAGGTCGAACTTTTCGTCCTACCTATGACCTGACGCACATCAACTACCCCGAGGCCCTCGCAACCGACAAACAATCGGAAGCCTAGACCCTAAACTCTGAACCAGCTCTCAAGGGATTGAGACTCGTACCCTTAAGGTTGTCCCCTAAAGGTTGCCCTTAACATACTCCTAATATGGCCCTTATACGACCTTGAGGATTTCACAAAAGGGTCCCCAACACCCAAGGGTACAACCTTAAGGAACCCTAAGCCCTAAGCCCTAAACCCTGAAACCCTGAAACCCTGAAACCCTAAACCCCTGAAACCCCGAAACCCCTAAAACCCTAAAACCCTGAACCCTAAACCCTAAACCATGCCAAGGCTCCGGAGGAGTAGCGCTCGGCCAAGCGCTCCACGGGAACCCTCCGCGGAACACAACCCTACTTGGAGGTGACAAGTAGGGTTTGGGGTTTAGGGTTTAGGGTTTAGGGTTTAGGGTTTAGGGTTTAGGGTTAGGGTTTAGGGTTTAGCACTTGGAGGTTCTTGGGTACGTGGAAGTGGGGTTTAGGTTTAGGGTTTAGGGCTTAGGGTTTAGGGTTTGGGATTTAGGGTAAGGATGGTTATAACCATAGAAAGGGTACTCATAACATCTTGAAACCCGAAATGCTTATATGAACCCATGGGCCTTCAAGTAGACCCTGGGCCCTAAACCCTAGGTCCCAGTGTCAGCTTAGGGTACCTTTCTTTGGTTTGCTGCTCGGAAGCCTGGGGCCTTATTTTTTGGGTTTTCGGGTTCAGGGTTGTTTGGGTCTAGGGTCTAGGGTCTAGGGTCTAGGGTCTAGGGTCTAGGGTCTAGGGTCTAGGGTCTAGGGTTTAGGGTTTAGGGTTTAGGGTTTAGGGTTTAGGGTTTAGGGTTTAGGGTTTAGGCTTAGGATTTGAGGCCGTAGGAGAACTCGCTCCCCGGTGTTGGAAAGCTTCGCTGCGCACGCCCACGAACCCACAACTTACGTCTGAGGCATTCAACAGTCAAAGCCGAACAAAGGTCCCCAACAGCTGCGAAAAATGGCAAGCTGTTATGGCACCTTTAATGCACAAATGCATGGAGCAATTCAGGCTGGACGGCCTTTGTCTTTAGGGTACAGTACCTACTTGAAGGTCAAGGCTACTTGTAAGAAGGGTTTTAAGTGCCCTGAACAAGCATTTTAGCCATTGCGACCCTACTTAGAACCCTACTTACAAGTAACCACCAAGCAAAAGGCCAACCGGCAGTTCTTCAAAAAAAACCCTCCTCCCCAACAAAATCACGGAGGAAGGCCCCGTTTGTGGCAAGGACTCCCCTTGCTGAGGGACTCTCCACACTCGGAACCCTAAACCCTAAACCCTAAACCCCAAACCCTAAACCCTAAACCCTAAACCCCAAACCCCAAACCCCAAACCCTAAACCCGAAACCCTAACCTTCAAAGGACCTTCCGGGCAACCTCCTTACATGAAGTAGGGTAGATATTTCTTGTACCCCCCAAAAGGACACCCAAGGTATACACTCACCAATATTCAAAAGGAACCTTATATACACTCACCCTAAACCCTAAACCCTGAACCCTAAAACCCTAAACCCTAAACCCTGGACCCCAAACCCCAAACCCTAAACCCTAAACCCAAAACCCTAAACCCTAAACCCTGTTTCATATGGAAGCCTCAGCAAGCCGAGGCAGCGTGCGGTCTCGGGGGTGAAGACCTGGCGCGGCTTTCGGGCTTTTTGGGTTTAAGGTGTTTAGGGGGTTTAGGGTTTTTAGAGTATTTTGAACTTTCAGGGTTTTTAGGACGTTTGGGTTTTTATGGTTTTTTCATGGCGTTCAGGCTTGAGGTTATAGGGTTTAGAGTTTCGGGTTTACAGTTTTTGGAACCCGAGCCCTAACAAAAAGGGGCGGAAATGAGGGGACCTCCTCTGGGTGCCAGGGCACTGTGCAAGCTCTACCTCTAGGGGACCCTCTGAATAAGGTCCCTGTTAAAGGGAGCCAGAAGAGGGTTAAGAAGGGTTCCCTTTTTAGGGCCCCCCTTATCCTAACTAGGAACTTCCTGGTCCTAAACCCTAAACCCTAAACCCTAAACCCTAAACCCTAAACCCTAAACCCTAAACCCCAAAGGCTCTACCACGTGGTCTGCTTTGTTTGACCCTCTGACGTCGACAATTCGGCGGGCGGGCCGGCTCCGGGCACTCATAGACCGTGAAGCTCAGGACGGTCGTGATTCCGACCTGAGAGGCCCTAAGCCCTAAGCCCTAAGCCCTAAACCCTAAACCCTAAACCCTAAACCCTGAACCCTAAACCCTAAACCCACCCTAACCCTACACCCTAAAAGCTGCGCACTGGCGACTTGCCAAAGAGCACACGCAAGCAAAGCAACGCGTGACCGGGGCGTAGTATCCATCTACAAGCGTGAACAACAATGCTCATCTGAACCATATGACTCACTAGCCAATGAGAAGCAACATGATTCTTTGTAAAGAAAGGATACCGGAAAGAGTCGAGCAAATGATGGAATGACCATAATAATATACGCTACCATGAAATATTGTTTTTTGTAAACATAATACAAGTGTAACTACATTTCCCATCATCAACGTATATTACTCGTAGTCATCATTCCAACAAAACTCATCATAAGAGGAGTAATGATCATCATAATCATAATAATAATAGTAATAATATTAAACTGGCACGCGAACCCGCCTCGACACTCAATGTCTGGGATCGGCCAATGACCTGGAGAAGTCGACTTCGCGTCGTCAGCACAACCCTTTAGGGTTTAGGGTTTAGGGTTTAGGGTTTAGGCTTTAGGGTTTAGGGTTTAGGGGACGCCCTGTGTGCCCTCGAGGTGGTCAATTGGGTTTAGGGTTTAGGGTTGGTCCCTTTTCGGGCTACTCCTAATACATTTAGCGGTGCCCGAAGGCTTTTGAGGTTTAGGTTCTTGCTTAGAGTTTCTTTCTGAACTTCGAGACAATTTGTTGTGTCTAGGGATATGCATCCCCAAACCCTAAACCCTAAACCCTAAACATAAACCCTAAACCCTGAACCCATTGTAGGTGAACATGTCTCACCGCAAAACTTGTTGTGGACGCCAAAAAAAGGCTCCCGCCTTCGTCGCCGCCCCGCCGCTGCTCACATTGCAGAAGTAGAACATGTCCTGGCCCCCCAAACCCTAAACCCTAAACCCTAAACCCTGAACCCTAAACCCTAAACCCTAAACCCTAAACCCTGAAACCCTGAAACCCTGAAACCCTGAAACCCTGAAACCCTGAAACCCTGAGACCCTGAACCCTAAGCACTCGGCCGTGATTGCCGTACTGCTGCGAGCTGCGCTGCTTGGCTGTAAGGGTCGCGGAGTTGGGTAGGCTGCGAAGGTGCATGTACAATGTGTAATTATATACATATATATAAGCATTATATATATATATATATAATCTAATATACCATAATATGTGTATATATATATATAGAGTATATCACATATAGTCTGTATATTCAATGGAATCATATGTTGCAAGGCAAGGATGTCTTGATTCCTTGGAGGCTTCCATGGCTTCCCAACCTGAACCCACGCACACCTGGCGGAAGTGTTTTCGATCACGTCAGTTTGGCACGCTTGCTTGCAGAGTCCTCGCAAGACTCTCGTAGCAAGGCTGCTAAATCTAGGTGGTTCTTGTGCAGAGCCGTCTGCAGGGGTGACTGGCCCTCACGGTTGGTGAGATCGGCGTCGGCACGGGCAGTGAGCAGCAAGCGTACGGTTTCCAGGCTGCCGGCTGTGCTCGCGGCTAGCAGAGGAGACGTTCCCGCCGTGTCTTGTCTGTTGTGATCAGCAGCAGAGTCCAGCAACAGGCCAGCCACGTCGCTGTGGCCGTTCATACATGCCGCCAGCAATGGGGATCTGCCACCGATGTCGACCTGATTCAGATCCGAGCGCTGGCGTATCAACAGGGTCACCAACCCCATGTGCCCAATCTCTGCAGCCGCCAGCACCGGTGAAATGCCCTTGGCGTTTGGTTCGTTTCGTGCACCGGCGGCTAGCAAGACCTCGACAACGCGAAGGTGGCCATTCTCACAGGCAGCCAGCAAAGGGGAGGCGCCAGTGAAGATGCCTTGGGGACGAAATGAACTCCTAAAATTGGGATCATATACCCTATACTGCCAGAATTCCTTCTAAGGTATATGAACCCTAAACCCTAAACCCTAAACCCTAAACCCTAAACCCTTTTAGGGTCTTTGCGTCCCCAGGGTGCCGTCTTTATCCACGCCAGCACCGAGCAAGAGCTGCACCACCTCCCAGTGGCCATTCTCGCCTTGGTTTGCCCAGAAACCATATGATATTTGGGGTTTAGGGTTTGGGGTTTAGGGTTTAGGGTTTAGGGTCTAGGGTTTAGGGTTTAGGGTTTAGGTGCTTTCCGGACATAGGGGTACCCTTTTTGAGGGTTCCAATAATAAGGATTATAGTATTTTTGGGTATCTTAAGGGTACCCCCCTATTTTTGGAAATACCCATATGGTGCTTTCTCTAAATTATGGTCCCTTTTGGTGCTTATTGCAGCCCCTCTGCTTTAGGGTACCCAAAGAGCGACCCCCTCACCGACCCATAATAGGGGTACCCTTTTGGGGGTTGCCGCTACTATACCAGGGAAACCTGGAACTACCCTGGAACCACCCTATATAGTCTTTCAATGGTATATATGGGGCCCGAATTCCCTCATTCCCGCCGCGAACCAGGGGACAAGAAGGGGGGGGGGTAAAAAGGGCACCCAACAGAGAAAACCCTAAACCCTAAACCCTACACCCTAAACCCTAAACCCGAAACCCTAAACCCTAAAACCAACCTGGGCTGCCAAGTCGCAAGCAGCCATCAAAGGGGATCCGGCAGCTCGGAATTGGGGCGAAGCCCAGGCTTCTAACCTTTGGGGTGGCCCTTAAACCCCCTTTTAGGGTTTAGGGTTTAGGGTTTAGGGTTTAGGGTTTAGGGTTTAGGGTGATTCCTGAGTATGATCCTCTTAAGCCCAATAAGGTAAGGGAACATCTCTTCCTGAGGATGATCCCCTTAAAGCCAAGAAGAAAAAGGGAACATCTATTCCTGAATATGATCCTCTTAAACCCCAATAAGGGAAGATATATAGACCCTAAACCCTGAACCCTAAACCCTGAAAATGTCCCAAGGGCCTACCTAGCAGCAAGCTCTGCGCGATGTTCAGATGGCCGTTCTGGCATGCGAGCTGGAGGGGCGACCGACCCCATTCCTTGGGGGTTTTGCCGAGCAACCGCCTTAAAACAAGGGGTTTAGGGTTTAGGGTTTAGGGTTTAGGGCTTAGGAACCCTAAACCTCAAAGGGCGCTCCAGTCAGCTGGCAAGGCGCGCCGGCCCGGTCATGCCGGGCGCCCCTTTGGAGGAGCAGCCGGGCCACCTGGACGTGTCCCCTCTCGCCTGGTTCATGGTTGGGATAGTAATAAACATATAGGGTTTAGGGTTTAGGGTTTAGGGTTTAGGGTTGTAAATGTTTATTCTTTATTGGGTTTAAGTTCCCTTAAAAATGCACAATGTTTCCCAACTATGACCAAGTCGCAGGCCGCCACCAGGGCGGACCTGGCCTCCATCCCGTTCCTAGGTTTTAAAGCCTCTGAGACAATTCGGGTTTAGGGTTTAGGGTTTAGGGTTTAGGGTTTAGGGCTTGGGGTTTGGGGTTTAGGGTTTAGGGTTTGGAGTTTAGGGTTTAGGGGGGGAAATCTACAAAAAGGTCCCACTGATCAGGGCCGAGGTTCCCATCCCCCTTGTCGACGTCCGCATGCGCATCCAGCAACAGCTCCGCCATCTCAAGGCTCCCGCGCTCCGAGGCGAGCAGCAGCGGAAATGCTTTGTTCCTGCTTTGGGGGGCCCCCAAAAACAAACGCAGAAGCATAAGGATTTCTACTTAAGACAAGGGGCTTGCTTCTCCAGAATCCTCCCAAAAAAAGGGGCCCTTATACCCTAAACCCTAAACCCTAAACCCTAAACCCTAAACCCTAAACCCTAAACCCTAAACCCTAAACCAAAGTAAGATCCTTGTGTTTTATGTGGTTTTTGGGGCCCCCTGCGGCTCCTGTTGCTGATGTTTGGGTCAGCTCGTGCGGAGAGCAAGAGCCGGGCAATGGCAATCTGATTGCCCTTGCATGCAATCCTTGGTAGCCAACCCTAAACCCTAAACCCTAACTAAACCCTAAACCCTAAAGCCCAGTAACCATAAAATGATAGGGGCACCCTTTTGTGGCTAGCTTATTTTATCAGGGAACCCAGAACCAAAAAAAGAAAAGGTACAGGGTACCACTGGCCTACCAAGAATCACAAGCGGAGACACTCCGTCCGCATCTCTCACATTTCGGTCGGCGCGCGCTTGAAGCAAACGAGACACCAGCTCCACAGAGCCGTTGTGGCAGGCAGCCCGAAGGGGTGTCATTCCCATGACGTCCGATGCGTTGGCGGCCGCGCCCGCTTCGATGAGCATGCAAGCAATCTCCACATAGCAGCCGCTGCACGCAGCGAGCAGAGGGGAGGAGCGGTACTCCCCTGGGCTATCCACCTTGGCTCGCGCCTCAAGCAGCATCTGCACCAGCTCCTTGGGGCCCCCTCGATCGCAACAGCTGAAGAGGGGCGTCCTCTGCCATTCCTCGTTCATGGCTGGGATAATGGTAACAAATCTGAATCTTTGTTCCTTCTTGGGTTTAAGAGTACCCTGAAGAATGTTCATGGCTGGGATAATAGTAAAAAATCTGAATCTTTATTCCTTCTTGGGCTGTAAGTTGTCCAGTACCTAGGGGAACTGAAGGTTAACTTTTGGGATCATAAGGGGACAAAACTACCCCAAAAAGGTTAAAGGTTACCTACTCTACTACTAAGGGTTTAAGAGTACCCTTAAGAATGTAAAATGTTACCCAACTATGACAAAGACTCACCCACCTGGTCGATGTTGGCTCGGGCCTCAAGCAGACACCAAGCCACCTCGACGTGGCCGGCGCTGCCTAGGAGGGCAGCGAAGAAAACCCTCTGGACAAATTATTCCTGAATATGACCCTCTTAAACCCGACTTAAAGGAATATACAAGGTGTCCCAAAGGCCTAGATATTCCTGAAGATGACCCTCGTCTAAAACCCGATTTTTTAAAAGGAAGATGCAGAGGTGCCCTAAAGGCCTAGATGTTCCTGAAGATGACCCTCGTCCAAAACCCGATTTTCAAGGAAGATCCAGAAGTGCCCCAAGGGCCAAAATATTCCTGAAGATGATCCTCTAAAACCCCAATTTTTAAAGGAAGATCCAGTGCCCCAAGGGCCAAGGGCCTAATTAGGAGAAAAGTTTGTGGCATTACATCGCTGTTTGTTGTTTGTTTTCTGTTTCTATTCGTTGGTTTTGCTAACCCTTTAAATGGAATCTTTAGCACAATATGCAATCACCTAGCGAATTTGTATCTAGTGATCAGGGATATGATCCTCTTAAACCCCAATCTAAAGGAATATGCAGAAGTACCCCAAAAACCTGCCCTATACTCCCCTTAGAACCTTAATAAGAATAATACTTTTAACATACTCTTGGGTTTTATATGAACAAAACCAAAAAATAGTTCCCAAGGGCGATGTAGTGCCTAGCTGCAGGCGCTGTTCAGCGGCGCGTTCCCGCGCCAGTTCGCCTTGTCGACGTCGGCGCGGGCAGCCAGCAGCAAGCGCACGGCCTCCAAGTCCCCGTGCCAGGCCGAGGCCTCGGTTGCTCTTCTTAGTAGCCCAGTAAGCATAGTATGATAAGGCCCTCTGTTTTTTGTTGACTTTTTTTGGGCTTGGTTACTTTATAACGGAACCCGGAACCAACAAACGGGTAAAGGGTACCACTGGGCTACTAAGTCTTTAACCCCCAATGAAAGTTTAAGTTTTGGCTCCCTTAATTTTGAAGTTTAGAGGAACCCCAAAACTTATGAAGTGATAAAGTTGTAGTAGTAGAGTCCCACCTAGAGGCGAGGAGAGGCGTCTCTTTCTCCCAGTTCCCCGCTGCCACCTGATTCGGATCCAGCGGCGTGCGCAGGAGGGCCTCCAGGCGATCGGTCTCTCGTGCATTCGCAGCCTCCAGGAGTTCACCAGCTTGCCTCGGATGGCCCCTTAAAAACCCTCTGAAAAACATTCCTGAATATGATCCTCTTGAACCCAATTTTACGGGAGAAATAGTATACACATATACATATATATATATATGTATATATTATATGTATAATGTCCCAAGGGCCTGCCGAGCTGCTTGAGTTGCAGAGGTAAGATGACCAGCTGAAGGTCGCCCTTCAGGTCGGCAATGGCTGTGCTGTCACACAAGGCTTTACCGTCCTGCAAGATCTGCTGCTGGAAGCGGGTGGCACCCACCAAGCTGCTTAGGTGCTGCTTCATGGCCTTCAGCGTCTGGCCGCGCTGAAGGACGTCCTCCAGCTCACTGTCGCTGAGGACCAGCTCTTTTCCAGACAGGGTATGGAGGATCATTCTCGCCGGCTCGGTTGGGCCGGGGGGGGTGGCCCTGACGAGGAAGAGGCGCGCGCTTTTGGGGGAGATCTTGCGACGGACAAGTGCAACGGTAGAAGAGGCTCACGTAAAGGTCCCTAAACCTTCTTAAAACCCTACAAACCCTCAAAACCTTGAAAACCCCCAACCCAAAAACCCCAAAAACCCGAAAAGCCCCTAAACAAACCCTAAAAGCCCCTAAAGGTCTTCATGTCAAGGACCAACCTGTCAGTTCGAGATGGATCGGCCTGCCCTCTCTTGAGCCACACTTTCAGGGTTCTTAAGGGAGGGTAGGGAACCTTAGGGTTTAGGGTTTAGGGTTTAGGGTTTAGGGTTTAGGGTTTAGGGAGGGTGGGGAACCTTAGGGAAGCTCAGGGAAGCTTAGGGAAGCCTTGGGGAGTAGTAGGGAAGTATTCGGGAACCTTGGGTTACATACCCCCCTTGAACCCCCCCCCGGAAACCCTAAACCCTAGCCCTAAACCCTAAACCTGCCTAAACCCTAAACCCTAAACCCTAAACAACACCGACAGAAACCAATCTGAGCCTCGCCTGGGCCTTTGGGTTGTGCACGTCCACCATGGTGCAGAGCACCGGAATCGTGTCGGTTGCGAGTGTATTTCCCATGCCGGCCTCAGGGGTTTTGGGTTTAGGGTTTAGGGTTTAGGGCTTGTGGTTTGGATTTTGGGGTTTGGGGTTTAGGGTTTAGGAGGGCCCACGTTCTTGCGGTCAGGGGTCGTAGGGTTCGTAGGGGCTACGAACCCTAAACCCTAAACCCTTAGCCCTTATTGTAGCGCTGACAAACTGCGTACATCCTGCCTTATGGGACCGGTTTGCGACTCGAAGGCCGGTTGGCCCTTATGAAAAGGGCTTAGGGCTTAGGCTTTAGGGTTCAGGGTTTAGGGTTCAGGGTTTAGGGTTAGGAAACCCTCAAAAAAAGATTCCGAAACTATGTCTCTCCTCTCAAACCCAAGAAGTGATGATATGAAACCATCCCAGCAACCTACCCGAGACGCCAGTACTTAGTAGCCCAGTAACCATATTATAATAAGGGCACCCTTTTTTTGGTTGGTTACTTTATAAGGGAACCTCGAACCTAAACCCTAAACCCTAAACCCTAAACCAAAAAGGGAAAAGAGAAAAGGGCACCACTGGGCTACCAAGAGTATTGCCGAGGCACACTGTTATGAAGGGGAGCGTGGCTGTGCAGACTTGTGCTTTGAGCCAACAAGCACCCTGATGGGCACAGGATTCTTTGGGGGGTGGGTGAGCACTCCATCTGGGGATGCCTTTGCGGAGCTGGGGTTTGGGGTTTGGGGCTTGGGGCTTGGGGCTTGGGGCTTGGGGTTTGGGGTTTGGGGTTTGGGGTTTGGGGTTTTGGGGTTTGGGGTTTGGGGTTTGGGGTTTGGGGTTTCAAGACCTTACTCCGGACTCCGGCCTTTTCCTCCTGCTTTGGTGGGATGGACTGCCAGCAGTGTTTGCTTGGAGCCACCCCCCAGGCTTGCAATCTTTGTGCAAGATCCTACGAGTCATAAGTTGAGAGCGAGTCTGTTTTGCGAGCGCTTGGAGGGAATATGGGTGAACGGTGGGCCCCAATCTCCTACGCCTCGATCCCTCGCGGCTTATCGCTGAACCCTGAGCCTCCAACCTGGGTTTAGGGTTTAGGGTTTAGGGTTTAGGGATCTATATTCATCCTCCTTCCCTCAGCACGTTCTGCTGCAGAGCATTGACACATTGGGCGCGTTCAGGCTGGGTGACCTAAGCCAGATTGCGAATGCGATCCCCCTAACAAGGGTTCCTGACACTGGTGCATTCAAGCAGTGCACTGGAGTTGCACCTGAACGCACAAGCGTATGGTACTATATGGGGTTTATCAAAATCCAGGGTCCCTTGTCCGGGTCCTCAGGAAGACAGGGTGCAGGGGACATTCAGGGACCCCCTTTTTTGATAATGGCCATATGCCACAGACAAGCTTCCCATGTCAGACCATCAAGCATGAATTCACCCGAATAAACCCTCAACTCGAAACCTGAGCTGGAAGCTTCTCAGAGGTGGCTGTTTCGACCGCGTGAAGCCAGATTCTCAGATGGATGTCACTTGATCAGACATTGGACTGCCAATCCTGGCAGGCACAACAGCGTGTCGGCAAGAGTGGGGACTGCTCTGATGCAACAGGCACATATGCGCTTCCCAAACAGGGGTCCCCAACCCCCCCCCCCCCCCCCCCCCCCCCCCCCCCCAAAAAATGGTAAACCCTATCCTGAGAAACTCCCATATCTTCAGAGACCCTAAACCCTAATTCCTAAATCCTAAACCCCAGCTTCAGAGAACTGCAGGTGGCCTTGTTGCATGCCTACCCAGGTTTTACAGTATCGGGCCAACTTGCGCCCTGATTTTTGGGTTTAGGGTTTACTATACTCCCCTTAGAATCTTAACAAACATAACATTTTGAATATCCTCTTGGGCTTTATATGAACAAACATAAAAAAAGTAATTCCCAAGGGGGATATAGGTTAGTGTTCAGGGCCCTCTGAAATGATGAATCATTAATGCTCGGGGTTTAGGGTTTAGGGTTTAGGGTTTAGGGTTTAGGGTTTAGGGTTTAGGGTTTAGGGTTTAGGGTTTAGGGTTTAGGGTTTAGGGCTGGAACGCTGAGGAACCTTGCAGGTTGTTCTGACCCATCAACCTCTTAGGCTTCACGTTGCTTTTTGACATGGGGGTTGACCAAATTGGGGGGGGGGGAGGGGTACCTTATTGGGGTCCTTACTGTAAGGGCATCCTACTATTTTGAGTTTTTATTGGGGGATCCCTAATTTTCCTAAGCTCCCACATGTCTTCCGCAAGCATTGCCGGATGAATCGCGGCTGAGGCTCTCTGGAGGATTGGGAACGACGAAACGAACAGGTGCATCGCCTCCCGGGCCTTACCGAAGATGAGGCGGACTGTGGAGCAATGACCAGGTCGTACCCTGACAATATTC